TCTCATCTGAGGTGGCCGGCTAAGAAGAAAAAGAACAAAAGTATGAAGTGCCCACTTCCTACCAGGTTTGGAAATCGTCAACCTAAAGAAACGGTACTGCTGACCATTTAACAACACAGGTTTGAACTGCATGGGTCCACTTACATGTGGGTTTTTTTCGATAAATACACTATAGGTATAGTACTGTCTTTATCTTCTCCTCCTTCTGATTTCTTAGTAACATTTTTTCTTTAGCTTACTTTATTGTAAGAATACAGTATTACAGTAATATAACATACAAAATACGTGTTACTGCGACTGTTTATGTTATCGCTAAGGCTTCTGGTCAACAGTAGGCTTTCACTAACACGTCCAGTACTGCTTTAAAAACCTTCACATATCGGGGCGCCTGGGTGGCTTAGGTCATGATCCCTGGGTCCTGGGATGGAGCCCAGTGGGGAGCCTGCTTCTCCTTCTCCCTCTGCCTGCAGCTCCCCCTGCTCGTGCTCTGTCAAATAAATAAAATCTTAAAAAAAAAAATAAAGTAAAATTTTTCACATGTTATGTTCCCTCTGGCCATTTTTAGATTGTCTCCTTGGGTGCTCATCCCCCCAATAAGGCTAGGCCAGAAGTTTATGACTTTGCTTCCACCACCTGATTGGCATCACTTTACAAAAATGTGGTTTTCTGTCCTTTGCAAAGAAGCTTCTTTCCGTTAAGTGAACCACTTCCCTACACTCCTAGCGTATCATTTGAACACAAGCCACTGTACTCCAGAGATGCAATGTGGTACCATGCTAAACGTCCTAAAGTGGTCACCGGAAAACTCGGGTCAGACCTGGCTTTCGTACTTACTGATAGCGTGACCTTGGACAAGTCACTTACTCCGATTCTCGAATTTCCTTATTTCCGGAAAAGAGGAATAACATCTATCCCTAACGTTACTGGTGTTAAGGTTAAAGTATAATTAGCAGTATATTTTTTAAATATTTTAAGAACTAGAAAACAGGGACGCCTGGGTGGCTCAGTCGGTTAGGCGTCTGCCTTCAGCTCAGGTCATGATCCCAGGGTCCTAGGATCGAGTCCCACATCGGGCTCCTTGCTCAGAGGGGAGCCTGCTTCTGCTGCTCCCTCTGCTTGTGCTCTTTCTCTGACAAATAAATAAATTCTTAGGGAAAAAAAAAAAAAGAACTAGAAAACGTCACGTACACGTGAGGCTTTACTTTAGTAACTGCGTTCCCAACTGGGCCGAGCCCCTGTAACGCTCATTGCTGGTGCTCAAAGATTATCCAGTTTATTGAAATGCGATCATTTTCCCGATTATACTAACCTTTCTACGACACTGGTTTTTTTTCTTTCTTTCTTTCTTTGGGGGCTACTTTTGAAGTTTCAGCCGTTTCACACTAAAAAATACCCACTCATTTATAGGATATGACCGTTTTAATTTAAAATGAGCTCTAGGAGCGCCTGGCTGGCTGAGTCGGAAGAGGAGCGTGGGAGCCTCGATCTTGGGGTCGTTGAGTTCCAGCCCCATGTTGGGTGTACAGATTACTTAAATATGAGCTCTAAAGTATTTTAAGTACTCATGGGCGTCCGAAATTAGAAAGTTTGCCACTAACGGGAAATCTAGCTAAAGCCCATTTACAACCAGCCTACGGCAGGCGGAGGCCGGCCCCCGCCACACCGGCCTTCGGACGCCCGCGCCCGCGGCCTCCACCGGCCTCCGCCAGGCCGCGGCGAGGCCTAGCGCGTCCTCCGTCTGCGTCACGGCGCCGGCAGCGCCCCTAACCCCCGCGGTGGCCTCACCTGGCCGGAGGGGCCATGCGGGAGGTGCGGCTCCGGCTTCCACGCGGCATGGCGACTTGCAGGGCAGCTCGGCGTCTACAGCTGCGAGATTCCGCCGAGACCCCAGCGACTTCGGCAGCACGGAAAACAGGCGGCGGGATTGGCCTCGGCTCGCGACCAATCAGCGCACAGGCAGAGGCCTCTCGCGCGCCGCCGTCTCCGCGGGACCTGAAGGTCACTGGAAGAACAGGACGTCACGGCGGCGCCTGGTCCTACGCGGTTTGCGTCATGAGCTCGGCGCCAGGCTCCTGCCGGAAACCGGAAGTGCCTGAAGTGAGCCCGCGCTCTTCGTCCTCCCCTCCTAGCCTGAGTCAGGACCGCTTGCTGTTTGCTTCCTACGGCGGGAGGACGTCGTTGCTTCCTTCCAAACGTTTGTATTATTAACGTGGTAGACAAATCCAGCCTTGAGAGTGAGGCAGATATCTGGCGCGACTGCCACTGGACCTTAGACACTTCTCAGCATTACGTTACTTGTTTGGGGAAATATTTTTTGAGGACCAGTGTGGGCACATAATACGAACTGAACGAAGGAAACCGAATACTTCAGGCAGCATCGGCAGAGCTGATTGATTCTATTTGTATTTCTTTTATCTGGATTCAGGCAACAAAAGTTGAGATTGTAGTAATGCCTTAACATTCATTACTATACATTTTTAGACCCTTTTCATATGTATCATAGTACCAGCCCATAATTGGGATGGTATTCATTCACTGATAACTAAAAATGTTCTGAATGATTTTCAAGTGCTGGCTAGGTTCTGGGGATAGATACATTCCAAATAAAACAAGACTCTACCTTTTTTTTTTTTTTTTTTGGTCAGAGAGCACAAGCAGGGGGAGCCCCAGGCAGAGATAGAAGCAGGCAGAGGGAGAAACAGGCGCCCCTCGGGGCAAGGAGCCAGTTGAGGGACTCGATCCCCTGACCCTGGGATCATGACCTGAGCTGAAGGCAAACGCTTAACCCTCTGAGCCATCCAGGCGTCCCAACAAAGCTCTACCTTAGTGGAATTTAAATTCAGGGAGGGGGAGACAGAAACGCCTATATAAATCAGGTAGTGGCGACATGAAGCGAAAGCAGGGTAAGTGAGATGGGGGTTAGAGGCTGGAGAGGCAGGACTCTTTGAAGAGGCAGCATTTGAATAGACTCCTTGAGGAAGCACTGGAAGAACCAAATGTTTATGGAGGTTAAGAGCATGCCAGGCAGAGGGAACAGCAAGGCCCCAAGGGTGTGTGTTTTAGTGACTGTTGGTGTGACATGCTTGTAACAGTACTGTTTTAGAACATCTACAGCAGGGGAAAAGTTGGCTAGTGGCATTTCATGGAGGGTTTCATGGAAGGTCCTTGGGATGGGGTGGGATTTATGGAGGAGGAAAAGCAGGGATGTTCCCTCCATTTCCGCTTGGGTGTCAAAGAGGAATTTCCCCCTTCCACCAGAGGTAGCAGAGTTTAACACAGTCTTTCCAGTAACAGCCGAATGTATGTGGAACCAAAGTGTAAATAATGCAAAAACCTTTAACGAAAGAGTTTTATTTTCCCAGAACTTAATAATTATTAAGTTTTACAAATGATATGACATTGTACTTGCCTTTGGATAATTCATAAGCAGAGACGGAGTAAAGGAGCCTTATAGAGGATATCCTGGCACAAGAAGAGCTTAGAATAAACATAACTTCGGACAGTTTAGACAAGCATCCAGAACAGAGACAATTTTAATCATACCTGGCTAAGTCATTAATTCCTACACTGAGGAGAGAATATTAGATATTTGTACAAGGTTATTTTGTAATTGTGTAAGATTGGAAACAACCTAAATTCCTGTCGGTAGAATACTGATTTTTTTAAAAAGTCACATCACTGGCGCCTGGGTGGCTCAGTTGGTTAAGCAACTGCCTTCGGCTCAGGTCATGATCCCGGAGTCCTGGGATTGAGTCCCACATTGGGCTCCCGGCTCAGCAGGGAGCCTTCTCCCTCTGACCCTCTCCGCTCTCATGCTATTTCTCTCTTTCTCTCTCAAATAAATAAATAAAATCTTTTTTTTTTTAAGATTTTATTTATTTATTTGACAGAGAGAGAGACACAGCAAGAGAGGGAACGCAGGGGGAGTGGGAGAGGGAGAAGCAGGCTTCCCGCGGAGCAGGGAGCCCGATGCGGGGCTCAATCCCAGGACCTGGAATCATGACCTGAGCCGAAGGCAGACGCTTAACGACTGAGCCACCCAGGCGCCCCATAAATAAAATCTTTAAAAAAAAAAAAAGTCACATCACATAATATGCAACTATAAAAAGGAATAAAAAAGCTGCTTCAGGCAGCAGCTCTTTCTGCCCACGGGTCCTGTCGCCGTGCTTTAATAAAACCACCATTTTGCACCAAAGATGTCTCAAGAATTCTTTCTTGGTTGTTGGCTTTGGACCCGACCCCCCCAAACCTCACCTCTATTCCAAAACCACATCATTTGGCGCCCGAATGTGGGGCTTCCAAGTCTTTTCATCTGGACTCCGAGCTTTGGTGCAAACTCTGTGAGTACTGTACTTTCTCTCTTCCTTTACTTTCATTCCAGGGGCCCTTCAAGGAGTATGGGACACATGAAAGTGTTATTGGAACACTTTCATGCCGATTGCTCAGACCACAATCCTCTAGCCCGTGGCTGCTCTACGGGGAGGAAAAAGCCTGCCTTTTGGCTGAAAGTTAGTACCCTGGCCAGAATGGTAGTAAGACCCAGAAACTTGATGCCCTCTCTTTACTGCTGTCCTTATATGAAGTTGTTTGTCCTGGGCACGGGACACCACCTAAGTCATCAGGATAGCGCCAATCTTAAGACTCCTGTGGTGAGGGCGCCTGGGTGGCTCAGTTGGTTAAGCGACTGCCTTCGGCTCAGGTCATGATCCTGGAGTCCCGGGATCGAGTCCCGCATCAGGCTACCTGCTCAGCAGGGAGTCTGCTTCTCCCTCTCCCTCTACCCCCTCTTGTGCTCTTTCTCTCTCTCACTCTCTCTCTCAAATAAATAAAATCTTTAAAAAAAAAAAAAAAAGACTCCTGTGGTGAGGTTTCCTCCTGATTGATCTAATGTGATCCCCTTCACATCCCTGGTCTAGCCACTTCTGGCCACAGGACCTCCACTGGCAGTCCGCCGAAACCAGTACCCGACTGAATTAAAACCCAGCCAGGGACTGTTTCCTAGGGAAGTTGGCTGTAAGGACTACATGTGTTGGAATGTCGCTTAGGTCATGATGGATTTCTATCTTTACTGTTTTCCATCAATGTCCTCTATTAACTAAAGCTACAAAATTTGGTAATTTCTTGTAAAACTTTTCTAGTGTTCTCCATGGGTTAAAAATGGCAAGTTCTTCAAGCCAAGGTAAAATAAGACATGACCTTCAAGGCACCCATCTGTAGCCTGGGATGCAATGGGGAAATGGGGGGACGCTAGCATCCCTCCTACAGGGGCCTTTATTGGCAACGATGGTTATAGCGATTTTGTTCGGGAAATGCCTTGGGTCGCTTTGACACCATGAACCTCTGACTTACCCTGGAACGCCACCTGGAGTCAGGATTGGGGGGCAGGGGGATTTTCTAGGTAATGGACCTTCTCTTTTCTTCAGTTCCCAAGGACTCTCCCTTGGGGTGCCTTTTAACCCCCTGGAAACAGATTGCAAAACTTAGGAAAGGACTGAGCTCCTGTAACACTGCATGGCCTCAGCGGGATCTATTAGAGCTCCTCTGCAGGAAATAGAGCAAATAGATCTAGGGTAACTTCATTGCTCATACCTAGCCTTCATTGCTCTACACCAAGACCTCGACCTAAAAGGGCCTCTTGCAGAATTTTGCCTGAACATTCTGGCTAGTAAGCCCCCTCCACACGCTGACATATTGGATGATAGTTATCTAAATAAGCCTCCGAATTAACCCAGGTTGCTGGAGGAAACACAGGCCCTCCCTAGCAAAGGGGACTCTGACTCTCTCACTGTTCTTCCTCCTAATAGATGTGGGGGCTTCTTCTTCACTCATTTCCCGGGTTAATGGCTATAACTAGAGCCAACTGTGGTTAGTCTCCCTCAGGACAGGAACTTTGAGGGATATTCCCAAGCAGCTGCTGAAACTCCTTTTGTTTCGGGGAAATTCCCGTCTTCTCCAGCCCAACATGGACTGCCTATTCCCACTTGTTGGCAGGAAAACATGGCGTCTGTGCCTCTGTTGGAGCTGATGAGCTCTGGAACCAGAAACCCTTTTTCTGCCTTCTGGCAGCACTTGGCCTCTTCTGTCTCCCCCTCCCCCTTTCTATTTCCACACCACCTGGGTGTGGCCTGCATAACTGGCTTCTAGACCATCCTCTGTGCCTCAGGCATCATGGCTCCTTCCCTCGCTATAAAGGAGCAAGAAGAGCACCCCCTGGACCTAACACCGCCCACTCCAGATTTCCTCACCAGCATCTCAGGTAAAAACTGACAATGGGAAGGATCCAGGTGGAACATAATTTAGTATTTAAACTAAATTTGTTGGTTTAAGATAGACCTGTCTTTAAAGTTAGCACTAAATGTGAGACTTATATTCTATCGAGGTTTGCTGAAGGTCAAATAACCTCATGTTATCTCTGTTGCAATTTGTTAGTAAAAAGATGACTAAAATGATGGTTAATTGTCTTACCAAAATTTTCATGGGTAATTGCTTTCAAAGTCTTTGGTTCCTGGCAGGTGCAGGAACCTCAGGATACTTTGGGCACCTTGCAAAGAGGAATTCCCCCTTCAGGTATTATAAGGCATGTCTGATGGCAAGTACTTGGCTTGGCTTCTGGCCTGGAGAGGCTACTAAAAGTTCAACCTAGAGATTCCTTATAAAAGTTCCAGCAAAGCAGATTCTAAAAGATCTATTTGATCATTATTCTTGCTGAACTTATGTAAATAATTAGACCAAGTTTGTTAAAATTGGACTTGTTTTGCAAACAAATTAGTCTTGACTTGGCTATCTCTGGAAATGAGGGTTATTTTAGAGGGAAAAATTATGTTTCAATAACCCAACTTTGTGGATGTTAAATCCTAGTTTTGATTGTCCTTAGATGTTGTTTGCTTTAGCTAGACAACTTGAGATAAACTTCAAGAGGAATTGCCACAAAAGCTCACGTATAAGCAGTCTTCTTGCTTGTTATTCTGTGGGGCTAATAACAGGACCGCATGGGCTTATGATTATTTGAACAACTGGGAAATGGGATAGATTCCCCAACAGTTGTATAACTGAGCTATCACCTTGACCAACTCTATGTGGCTGGAATGACAAAATCGCTCCTTGAAAGCCAGAGCATACCCCACTCTATGGGGTTAATATGGACTTGTGGAGATAATGGATGACCCTACTTTCTTTATGATTAGATTGGATGATACACTTGGGGATGCCCTTATCTCTTGAGACAAGTCTTCTCCCACTTGCTAGTGATTCCTTGTAATTAGGATAGAATTAATGCTGGACCTCAAACAGAGGTCTTCTTGATGGTATTATCCTTTAGTCATATTTATCCTAAAAGCCACCTCTATTGAGGTACAATGGCAAACAAAGCCTTTAGCCACACATACAACAGTCCTCCCGGTAAAAGGAGCCTCAAAGCTCACTATGGGACAGCCCCTGACTATAATGACTTCTCATCAGGCCCAGAGTGTCTTAGAGACCAAAGGCCACCAATAGATGATGGGAGGCCAACTTACTAAATACCAGGTTATGCTTATAGATACGCCTTAAATAATACTTGAAACCTGTCAGACTTTAAACCCAGCTACCCTTATGCCTGGACCTGACCATCATACTTCTATAGAGCATAACTGGTCAGAGGTTATTGATCTTACTTATTCTAGGCAACCAGATTTAAAAGATTCCCCTATTGAAAATGCCGATGACAGTTGGTTTACTGGTGGCAATAGTTTCAAAGAAAAGGGAATAAGGGGGCGCCTGGGTGGCTCAGTTGGTTAAGCGACTGCCTTCGGCTCAGGTCATGATCCTGGAGTCCCTGGATCGAGTCCCGCATCGGGCTCCCTGCTCAGCAGGGAGTCTGCTTCTCCCGCTGACCCTCCCCCCTCTCATGCTCTCTCTATCTCATTCTCTCTCTCAAATAAATAAATAAAATCTTTAAAAAAAAAAAGGGAATAAGAAAAGCTGGGTACGCTATGGTGCTCACTCGTGCTTGCAATTGCCAAAGCCTTAAAAATTAATTTATACTGACTCCAAATATGCTTTCCTAGTCCTACATGCCCACAGAGCAATTTTTTAATAAAGACTTTATTTCTTTATTTATTTGTGAGAGAGAGATCACAAGAGAGCACACAAAGCAGGGGGAGTGCCAGGCAGAGGGAGAAGCAGGCTCCCCGCTGAGCAAGGAGCCCCATGAGGAATGATCCCAGGACTCTGGGATCGTGACCTGAGCCGAAGGCAGACGCTTAACCGACTGAGCCACCCAGGCGTCCCCCACGGAGCAATTTGGAAGAAAAGGGGGTTATTATCAAGCCATAACACCCCAGTCAAATATGGGTCTGAAATTATTACTCTTAAGGCTGTACACCTACCTAAGGAAGTAGCTGTAATTCACCTCAAAGGACATCAAAGAATATGACCTTAGAATCTAAAGGAAACAGTTCACTAGACCGTGCAGCCAAGCGGGCAGCACAAAATAAACAAATATTAAGTCTTTTACCAGCCTTAACTCCAATAAAGTCTGTAAGTCCAGTCTATTCAGACCAAGAAATGCACAGGACTGGCTTGTTAATAATGAGGGAAAAATCTTTATACCCAAAAATAACCAATGGAAGGTAATACAGGGTTTACACCAGGCTCCTGATTTGGGTAAAAAAGCCATGGGGGTGGCAAAAACTTTGCTAAGAGAAATTGTCCCTAGATTTGGACTTCCTTGGTCCCTACAAAGTGACAACGGACAGTCTTTTATTACACAAATTCAAAATATGGCCCTCCAAAACTGAATAGCCCTTGATATCTTTTTTTTTTTTAAAGATTTTATTTATTTATTTGACAGAGAGAGACACAGCGAGAGAGGGAACACAAGCAGGGGGAATGGGAGAGGGAGAAGCAGGCTCCCCGCAGAGCAGGGAGCCCGATGCCGGACTCGATCCCAGGACCCTGGGATCATGACCTGAGCTGAAGGCAGTCGCTTAACCAACTGAGCCACCCAGGCGCCTGCCCTTGGTATCTTGACCGCAGTTAAAGGGCCCCAGAATTATATGACTGTGTTCTGAGGGGACCCAATGGCTATGTGGCTCTAACTTGCGGCCATGGCTTCCCCCAGGCGAGATAGGCTGCTGAAGATCACTCTTTAGTAAAATTTATGTAACAACTTCTCATTCCATAGTGATTTCAGTCATTCTCAACAAATTCACATATAGTGATCAAAATTTGAACAAATAACTCTTGGAGGAATTGTTAACATATATGTGATACCAATGTTTAGATGAATGGACCCCTGATGATTGCAATAAAATTCTAGTCAGGTGGTAGGTACCAGAAGTTTTAAAATTGTGCAAACCTGTTCCAGAAATTCCACATTTAGGAATTCAAGAAACAGTCATGAATGTGTAAAGAAATTAGCTATAAAGATGTTCATTTAACAAGTTGTATAAAATAGGGAAAATCAATAAATAACTTAAGTGTCCTACAATATAGAATTATATGTTATGATTCATACACATGATGAAATGTTATACAGCCATTTAAAATATTATGAAAGAATACCTGACATGAAAGTATCTTCACAATATATTAAATGGAAGAGTAGGTATACATAGTATGTTTATATTCTGAGAAAGTTCATACATATTTTAAAGACTTGAATTATGTACACTTAAGTAGTGATGTTACCGATTGGATAGTGATTGCTTCCTTTTTTTGTTGTTGTTTTTGCTGTTCATATTTGCCAATTTGTCTAAAATGAACACACTTTTAGTAATTAAGCATACCATGGTGGTTTAAAATAGGTCCACAGATTCTTTGACACTTCTTTCAAAAAGTGGAGCCTAATTCCTCTCCAACATCATGACCCTAAGCTAAAACCACCCTGTTAGCCACTTCTGAATTCTTTACCTCTGGAAACTAAGATAAGTATCTGTTGCTGTAAGCCACTAGGTTTTGGAGTAATTTATTACACAGCAATAGGTAACTAATACACAATTTCTACAGTTACTATATTTAAACTATGAAAGTTTTAGTATCTAAGGTGAGCAAAATCTCGTTAGAACACCTACAGAGTGTTGCTTTAACATGGCTTATGTCTGTCTGGGATTGTGATGAATTGGGAATTGTGTACGAACTGACATTAGCCCTAAGGTCCTTACACTAAGGTCCTTACACTCTAAATCTAATTTTCTCCATTGGATAACTAAGACATACTTATGTGAATGTGGTGCCTTGCACATGCCAGACAAAAAAGAATGAACCAATGAATGAATTTTTAACTGTTGATCTAAAAATACAAAATACGGGATGCCTGGGTGGCTCAGTCTGTTAAGTGGCTGCCTTTGGCTCAGGTCATGATCTCAGGGTCCTGGGATCGAGTTCCACATCGGACTCCCTGCTCAGTGGGGAACCTGCTTCTCCCTCTCCCTCTGCTTGTGCTCTCTCTGTCAAATAAATAAAATCTTTAAAAACAAAAAACAAAAAACAAAAATACAAAATACTATATACACAAGTGGTTAGGTGGTGTTTAAATGAAGTTCTATGGATTTCAAAGGGATGGATATTCACTGTGGGTGAAAGATTCGGAGAGAAAGTGGCACTTAAAATAAGTACAGGTGGAATTTATTTTAGAAAGATTAAAATGATAAAGGGGAAAAGGGCATGCTAAGTAGGACAGCACAGATTCACATGAAGAAGCAGAATCGAATATGGTGAGGACAGGACAGAAGATCTGTGTCAAGTACCAAGTGTGTTTTTGGAAGTTGTGGTACAAAATTGAAGAAAATCTAATAGATGATTTCCAGCACAATGTAAGGAGTCTAGGCTTTTTATCCTACAGGGTTAGAGCAGTCCTTGAGGGGTTTTTTTTATGTTTAAAATGGTCTTCAGGAAGATTAATCTGGACATGGTATCTCTGAAACACAGCAGGAGAATAGGAGTAAGGAAAAATCCTGAAGGCCAAGACAGTGGCAATGGAAACATTACTAATGATGTAAGTGCTGTGCTTGCTTCAGCAGCACATATACTAATCATGTGAAGGCCTGTTATATACCAGGCACTAAGAGCTTTACATGTATTATTTTATTTACACCTCACAAGAACTTTCTTTTTTTAAGATTTTATTTATTTATTTGAGAGAGAGAGAATGAGAGACAGAGAGCACGAGAGGGAAGAGGGTCAGAGGGAGAAGCAGACTCCCCGCCGAGCAGGGAGCCGGATGAGGGACTCGATCCCGGGACTCCAGGATCATGACCTGAGCCGAAGGCAGTCGCT